GCATGTGGCCCGCGGGCCATAGTTTGAGGACCCCTGGTCTACCCTTTCCTGTAGAGCAGCCCATGCCTATAGACAATCCCTTATTGTAGTCTAGCCTCACCTAGGCCCACAGAGCAGCCCACGTTCTAGTGCAGCCCCTACTGTAGAGCGGCCCATGCCCACAGATCAGCCTGTACCTCCAACTGGGGCCTGTACTTCTAGACCAGCTGTCAAACCTGTCTCTAGAGAAACCTTGGGCCTCCACACGCAGCCTGCACCCCCAGACAGCAGCCTGTGCTCCTAGTACAGCCTGTGCCCCAGACACAGCCTCTGTCTCCCGCCCCCCACACACCAAAGCACCTGTACCCTCCGAGGCAGCCTGTGCCCTTAGATAAAACGTCTTGGGTGCTGGTTTCAGACTGCTCCTCCCACACTGCAGACAGCCTGCTCTCCTGTCTGGGGGGCGGAGGAGAGGGTTGTCGTTGACGCACACCCACGATAGACTCTTAGCCTGCTTTCCACCAAGAGCAGCTCTTTCCACACCTCTGGGTAGTGCCCCTCATGCCTGGTCTGTTCTCCTCCAGATGCCAAACACCATGGCTACCCTTCTCACGCACGTTCTCTGATACACTCCCTGACCCCCTCGCTTTCCCACACAGCCGCTCCCCGACGGACCATACCTGCGCCAGAGAGCAACCCCATACCTTTCACCCGGGACTTTACTTACACCACAGGGGACATCCTGCCCCCCTGGGCCATGGAGCTGCAACCCCAAGAAAATAGTGGATCCCCCGCAGGGTTCATGCATGGGGTCACAGCAGGCAGGCCTTGGTGATGTTGGGGATCTGGGCCCAGGCCACCGCCATACATTGAATGTTGCTATTAAGCAAGCCTCCACGGGCTTATAGTTTCCATGACGGCATCACCTATGGTGCTGAGCCTCGGCGGCATCGTCGTGGAAACGTGTTGGCTGCTACCGGAGAAGTCGACGGTGCAAAGCCACTAGCTGCTCCTCCTCGGGAGGACGATGAGGCTGTCTGTCCCAAGAAGATTCACAGCCTCAGAAACCACCCAGGTGAGGTCTGTAAGACCCGCTCCGCCGCCAGCTGCCCCTGAGTCAATACGTCTTCAGAGTAGAACGGTGCTTTATAGAGATTTCATTGGCTGGTTTTTTTGGATTGGTTTTTGGCGGGGGAGCTTTTTTGGGAAACAGATCACCACACCTTTCTTCCACAGCACCTTTGGTTATATTGGAACCACCAACCTTTCGGTTTGCAGTCAGGCACATGAACTGTGCCACCCAGGGATTCTCCGTCAGACTACCAACCAGCCAACCAGTTGCTAAGGGGCTGACTCTGTCTGATTTGGGGCGACCCCAGGTCATCCGAGCAGAGCGGGGCTCCACAGAGTTTTCAGTGGATCTCCAGATCTTTCTTCTAAGGCACCACCAACTTTTCTGCCTAGCAGCCAAGAGAGTTCACCGTGTGCCACCACCCGGGGCCTGACACTCCTATACCCACTCTGTCTTAGAGTTCTCTAGTGCTGTTGAAACAGAAACACTCAGAGGGGAGATTTTTTTTTTTCACAAGCAGAAATGTATTCTTTCACAGCATAGGATGCTGTGTTAGTCCGGGTTGACTAGATAGAGAAACAAATGCAGAGACGCTCATGTGTGTAGGAGAGAACATCATATCTAAGAGTAAGGCCGTGTTAGATTGAGTTGACTAGAGAAACAAATCCAGAGACACTTGTATGTGTTTAAGACAGAACTTTATATCAAAGAGTAATTTTATATTAAGAAAACATCCCAGCGCAGTCCAGATCAAGTCCATAAGTCTGATATTAGCCCATATGTCAATGCCAGTCTGTAATTTGCTCTTCAGACTCACAAAACCCATGCAATGATGCCGAATGCAGGATGATCACAGGCCAGTAGGTGGAAAGTCTAGTGGATGCAGTGATTGTGGAAGCATCTCAGTGCTGGCAGAGGTCTCCAGGTGGCTCCTCCAGCTCCAGGGCTCTGGCGTAGCTCCATGTGGCTTGTCAACGGGAAGACAAACAAGCAGTGTCTGTGTCTATCTGGCCTCCAGTGAGCTATTTATCTCTTTCATGCCTCCAAATGAGCTCATCAGGCTGTGACCTGGTGGACAGGTTCGACTCCACCCCTTCGCAAGTTGACAGGAGATTAGTTAACTGCCACAGAGGCTAAAGATCAGGATTCAGAGCATCACCTCTGAGGGGAAACTTTTTTTGTGGGCTCTCGAGCAAGGTCCTTGTCTCCTTTCAACCTCTTTGGGCCTCTGTGATCCTCCTTGGAGATCTCCATGGGCATCTCGGCATCTATCTGTCCCTGAGTCTAGGAGGTTCCCAGCACGAGAACCCCCACCTCCAAAGGACGTGCTCTGCTCTTGGCTCTTCTGTCTTGGGGGTACAGAGCTCCCTCTTTCTCTGAAGGCTTCCCTCTCCCTTCATCTCGTGGGAGATAGAAGGGGATGCAGGCCACACACCCCGAGGAAACTCCCCTTCACATTAGTCCATGCCGGGACCTAGGAAGCATGTTGCTTCCCCTGCAAAGTCCCTCCCGGCAGACTGGGGGAGCCCATTGGATCCCATTGTGAGGGTGATCACACCACGATGTACCTGCCAAGCAGTAAGAATTGTGTTCCAGCACAACTTGTTACCTCTGTTTTAGGGTACAAAAGAGACCCACCTCCCCACCCTGATCTCAGATGCGATTTAAGGAG